TAGCGCTCCTTCCCCGCGGATGCTTCGAGCAACAGCACGTCGACATAAGTCTCCTTCAATCCCACGTGATGCTCTACGCTTTGCCGGGGAGTTGGTTTAGTTGCTTAAACGATCCAGACCCGACCAAGGGCTAACAGAGATCCAGTCACTCATCCCTGTTCTCGATGAGTAATTGACTTTTTCTTCACTTATTTTGAAATAATTTGCATTGAAATTTTCACATTCGTTTTTACATGTACTACTTACTTGAAAGCTTTTTCTGAAGCAATACTTCTCTGCCGTGGAGGAACGCCGTATGAATATTCGAGAGTTGACAAATTTTCTTCGATGAAATATTTCTTTTTTAGGAGAGTTATGAATATTTTCTCTAGAAATTTTCGGATGACATAACTCCAGTCACGCAGAAAATCAAAGACATTGCAGAAAATGCACTGAAAAATTGAATGGAAAATATTAACAAGTTTTCCTGAAAATTCGTATTTGATATCGAAGGAAATTTGGCAACTGAAGATGGTTCATACGGCGTAGCACGGCAGTCCTCCTCTGTGCAATGTATCAAGGGTGTGTATGAATTCAAGATTTTGGCCTTAAAATTTCAGGTCCCATTGTGGCCGTTGAGTCTCTCAGTGCGTTTGTCAAACGTGAAATCCGAGTGTTGTCCAAAAGCATTAATGATCAGGGGAAACGGAGGATCAGGGAGGAACTTCAGGGATTCTGCATCAAAAGTTGCGGTTCAGGTATATTTTTTTACCTGGAAGAACGAGACGTTTTAATGTCATGTGTCAAGGAAAACCTGGAATTTTACAAAATGTCGAAAAATGTTCATATTTTGAAAAATCATTTATTATTTCAGTTTTCTTCTCCACATAGATTACAGGCAATCTGAAATTGATCAGTTTTTAATATGGGAAATTATCAAGATTCTTCCCCTGACGGCTTCACGGTCCAACCCCTGGAAGCGCTTCGCATTATGCATTATGCAGGCGTTATGCATTACGCGTTATTCTAATAATTTTACATTACAGAGTCAGACAGGGAATGATTTGCCGTTAAAACTGCCGGTAATCAATGAATATTTATTTTAGGTCAGGGACTTTGCTACCTGAAAATTTCTTCTGAAAAGTGCAAGGAACTCCATATTTCATTAATCTCCGAGAAGTTCTCTCCCACAGTGAAATTTGTCATCATTCATAAAACCCAGAAGCGCTCTTCGGATGAGGTGGGCATTGACGTAAAATACGACTGAGCATCCAACTCGAGGAGGTAAGGGCGGACAAGAAAATTAGGACTCTTAAATCGTCAAAACTGGAAGAACTTGGAAGCAGGTGGGCTACATTAATTGTTTTCCTTCCGAACAAATACAAACGCGAGCGGAACGAACGGACTCCCCTATTGCCGTGCAACAGAAGAACGCCGTATGTGCATTCCGACGTTGCCAAATTTGTCCAGAAAAATATGGATTTTGCTGCAGAACTTTTACCTTTCATTAGAAAAAAAAAATTCGGAGAATTTTCTTCGTACCCAAATCTAGTGTACCTGAACATTTAAAGAACGCACTGAAAAAAAAATCTCGGTGTATTTACTGAGAAAAGGGTAAAATTACCAAGAATTCAGGGTTCTATTTGATCCCAGTTTTTTTGGTAAAATTACCACTTATGGAATTGGTAATTTTACCGAGAAATCTCAGTAAAATTATTGACTTTCTCGGTAATTTTACTGATCCCCGGTAAAAAGACGAATATTTTTTATCGACTGTGGTAGAATTACCGAGATAAAATGGCAAAGTTACCGGGAATTGATTACGAATAAAAGTGGTATTCTTACCTGAAAAAAACAGTAAAAATACCGGTTTTTAGGTAAGATTACCAGTCTGTCTTGTTAAAATTACCGATAATTGGTAGAAAAAAGTGAGATGGTAAAGGTACCAACGGAGCTTGGTAAAAACGCCGAGAATTTTTTTTTCAGTGCGAATATTCATGACTTTCCTAAAAGGTGAAATTTTTAAATGAGGAAATTTGTCAACGCTCAAATGCACTTGCGGCGTTCTTCGTCAGCGAGGCAGCACACGCCTCCCTCCCGCTCACACCCCTCCGAGTTAAATCCGTATGATCCCATTGTTTCCTTCGCTCCGCTCCGACCGCCGACCGCTTGCTCCTCCCCCGGAAAAGTTCAACTTCGCGCGGGTAAGTTCCGAGTTAATTTATAAATTATAAACTTGTCAAAAAGGTTTAAGCGGAATGGAAGCGTAATATTGTAAATTTGGTCCATTTTTGAGACCGGTTTCGCTTTCCGTGCCCGTCACCGCGGTCTCATCCATTATTTCGTCGCTCGGCTGACATAAGGGCGTAACTATTTATTGAGATGAGCCCTGAAAAGCATTGAGTTGTATGGAAGACAGGGTTCATCGCAGAGTGTAGTTACGCCCTTACGTCAGGCAGGCGACGATTTCGGCTCCTCCTTCCGCCACTTGACAATAGAACTCCTTCGAGTTTGGATTTGGGTCCCTAATAAACGCCCCCCCCCCAGCTCCGGCCCCCTCTCCTTTCAGAAGTTACGTAAGGAGATCGCTGGATAAAGTAGTTGGAGCCAACCTCCGTTTAAGGATCATATACTTTATTGAGTGGGAGGCAGTGTTTTGCGATACATCGATTGATTTGTCATTTAAACCTATGAAAAAGTATCGATTAACACACTGGAAAAGAAAACGCATTGGATCTAGAGTCCAGACTCTTAAAAACATCGACAAGAAAAAGTAGTCTCGATTCAATCAGAATCTAGCTTAAATCAAGAACCAAGCCTCTTAATGTAAGCGGATTTCGTTTTGATTCAAGCAAAAATCCGATTGAATCAAGAGTATTTTTTCTTGTCAATGTTTTTCAAGAGTCTGGACTCTAGATCTAATGTGTTTTTTTTTTCCAGTGTGTACTTTTTTCACACGCTGTTTTCGAATCGNGATTTTTTTTTTTTTTTTTTTTTTTTTTTTTTTCCAGTGCAGGGTGTTAGCAGCGAACACCTTAATAATCGATTATTTACCGTAGTTTCAAATGGGGAACATACCGATACATCGCAAAGCACGCCACGCCACTGGTGGGAGGGGGGGGGGCTCTCCTCTCCTCGAGAGAGTCAAAAGTCACTTGCGGACTGACTATCGGAAATACCTCGAAAATTTAGAAAAAAAAGCACCGGTCTCATCTATAAATATTTCGACATTGTGGGTTTTTTTTGCGCGGAATCTAGCAGTGGCGTGACGTGAATGATCGATCGTCGATTTTTCCCTATTTGAGGCCGTGGTGAAGAATCGATTGAACAGAGCGGAGCGGCGTGCTGCCAGCGCGAGAGGCTCACTGGCGCCTACAAACCTAAGTGGATACTTCACGCATTGCACAATGCTTGAAGTATTCACTTAGGTTTGTAGGCGCCAATGCGCGTTTCGCGCCTGCCGGCCGGCCGCCGCCCGCCACGCTGTGCGGCGGCGCCTGAAGCAACTATTTTACAACAAAGGTGTTGCACAGTATCATACGAAACTGAACGTATTAAGAATGACAGGCATCCTTCAAAAGTACAGATCTTTCCTCGCAAAATAAATCAAGATACTTATCAAGATACTTAAGGAAAAATCTAAGAGCCTTTAGCTGAGGCAAATATAGAGGTTCATCTGGTTCAGGTATAACAAGGTGGGAATTTCTTGAAAGATAATTAAGTCCTGTTACACCAAAGAGGTGTAGAGAGTTTTAGTGAATTTTGTCTCATGGAATTGACACTCCCCCATTTTTACCAAAACTCTCAAATATACCTATATTATTCTCCGTTAGACCAAACAGACAAAACAAAAAAACAATTAAACCCTCATTCTTCCAAGACGGTATATATTTTCATCCAAAAACGTCGTGAGCAATTGTCGTTTGTATTTACATGTGGGCTCAACTGGCATGTGGACCAAAACTCCTGTGTCGAAAAAACGCGTGGACGTAAATTACTGGAAAAAATAGGTGCGTGGACAAAAAATCGTTGACGGAATGTCCTATAACCTTAATATTTGCAGTTAAAATCTGTTTTAGTCAAAAATTCCATGTTCGAGATGGGGGACCCAGATATTTCGAACGGAGGGGGGTATATTATATTAATATTTTATCTAAGATTTATTTGAATTTTGGTCTTTGTTAATTTTTTTACTCAAATTATTAAACTTGATTTTATTTATTTGCCAATCTTTATTACAACTCTTAAAATGTATTACAATGAATTTTATTTTATTTTCAAATATATATTGTTTCCTTTTAACATATTTTCATTTTTTCTTATTTTTTTCATCTCTTACTCTGTTTGGTAATTACTTATGAAATTATTAAACAATGTAGGGGTCCTTTGCGACTGAAAATCTAAATGTATAACTATAAGTTCGTCCGTAGGTCTAATCTAAGTCAATTGAATAATTTTATTGTAGATTTAAGTTCACCTTCCAATATCTCCTATTTTTGGAATTTGGGTCTTTGTTGGGTCTTTCAATGTTGAATGGGGGCCCGGGAGGCTTTCCTAAAATTTTTTCGAAATTTTAAAGCAACATGTAACATGCAGTTTGAGTCAATTTCGTCGGGAATGATAACCAAATATTGGCGTCCTGCCTTCCTCTTCTCTCGTCCTTCTCTCTTTCTTTCTTTTTCTTCTTCTTTTTTGGGGGCAAACCTNGGGGGGGGGGGGTTGGCGTACGCCCCCTGGATCCAGCAATGCAGTCCGTTCTCTAAGAATAGCTAGATGCATCTCGTCGCTCAGCTTTAAGTCAGGTAAAAACTGCAGTGCTAATCTTTTTAATCGCGGCTGCGTAGCACTCGAAAGATCTTGTCATTACCCACTCTCTTATCGTGAGAAAATCCGAACGGTGATAATAAAATAATTACTTGCATCCTCTGATGATTAATTTCTTCCTCTTGATAATGAGAACTTACACTCGAAGCAAAATTGCATGCAGTAAAAAGGGTACACACACTAACGTAGTTAAGCCGCTCGATACATATTAGGAGAAAAAAATATCACTGCAACGATAACACCTCTCTAATTTATCTATGTTATGGCAGATTACCTACGTTCCGCACTAGCTCTTGAAGATGTGCTAAATTGTAGCTATTCACGCAGTGCATTTTATCCTCGAGCGAAAGTAATTTGTTTGAAGCTCATAAGTTAACAGGGCCACGTTAATATTTCAAGTATAGTGTTGTGCGTATAAACAATACAGATATTTAAAATCAAGTTTTGGATACTTCGACTGAATAATTCACTAGCGGTAAACTTGTTTGTTTCGAAACATGTGTGCTCATTGGATCCCATTAAGTGTTGAACGTGAAAGTTATCAGTAATCAAGGTACCATATACATTAACCGTAAGTTTTTGTAACTGATTGCAAACATTGGGGCATCAGTACTGTTCAATTTAATTGAGATATTTATATCACTGTCCTGATCATTGTTATATGAGCAGATAATGTATATGAACATTATAGTGTGTTAGTGATTTCGCCAACGTGCGCTCAAAATTCAATCAGAAACTGCCGAAAACCTACTCAAATCTTGCGTGTGTCGAACAGCAATTATTTTTGTCAAGTACCTACAAAAAGCAGTTCCAAGATGCCAAGATATTTGAAATTTTAATGTATCATATTTGGTAAGATTGTCCGATTACGGTACATTTTCACGCCTTTATGTTCACATAACAATGACCTAAATAGCTCGCTGTTTACGCTTTGGAGCACAATAAACTATATTCAGTCCTGTTGGAGTATACTTCTGTACAGTGTCTTTGACAGCAAAATCACTTTTCGATCATCGACATTTTTTCAAAAATTTCCCGTTAAATGTCACTAGCAATTTTAGGAGGGGCTATTCCACCTCAGAGCCGGGAATCCACTGCTTAAAATATAGTAATATTGATGAAATAGCGATCACTTCTCTCAGGGCCTTTATGAACAGTGCGCCTTAAGAGAAACAATTTTGCTGCTAATTTGAAACGCTCCCAAGATTTCATGTGATTATTTTTACAGAAGTAAATACTCAAGACTCCACCTGCGACTAAGTGGAAAGGACGAGAGTAGGAAACGATGGCGCTTATTAAGCGAGTACACCAAAAACCCACTGACGGCCGTCCTCCAATCACGTATCGTATTCAAGTGGTCGATGAACCTTTCTTCAAGGAGGCTGCCAATTTCATGATCGAGAATTTTCTTCCAACGGAAAATATATGCTCATCAATCGGCAAGTAGACGAGGCCATGAAGGTAAAAGGCTCGTAGCAAATAGCAAAAGGCAATAGCAGGTGTAAGACGAAAAAATCGCCTCCAAAACAAAGAATATGCAGCCCCGCGACTGCGATGTCTCTATAGTTGCTGTTCAAAATCAAAAGGGGGCAAACTATGCAAACTTGCAAGACGAGTACAGACGAAACCTCGCAACTATTCGTTGTAACATGGAAGACAAAAAACATGTATCTAAACACGTTGCAACGTCATATATTTCTTGTTAAATCTTGGGTTTTTAAGAGAAAATAAATGAGGTTTCTTTTTTGAAATTTCTACTCACCTTTCTTCAACCTGACTGGAATATGTAGTTAGTGTTAATTTCGAGCAATAACGGGCATTTTCCCTCTATAAAAACATGAGAGGAACTCGGATATTTTCAGACGTTGCAATCATTATGCATGCCTCCCGATTTTTATCATGCATATCTGTCCCGAAAATGTGAAATCTATTCATAGGTATGTGTGTTGGTAAAAACGCAGAAAAAGACGGAGTAACGTTGTTTTTCTTTTGGCCCCCAAAAAAGAACAAAGTAAAAACTTCAGTAAATGAAAGAGATGATAAGTAATTTGTTTTATTAGACATTTTATTTAAACTTTTTACGAGCCTAAAATTCAATGTGACTGTGAGAATGTTAACTCGTTTTTCGCAAAACTACATGACGATGGTGTAAAGATGCGTTCCTTGGTTTGCGGTTTTACAGACTTCCTGTCATGCTTTATTTTCTACATGAAAAACTACTGAACGTAATACTTTGAAAATTTCAGTGATTTTTCTCTTTTTAATGATGAATATTCTGTAAAAACCCTAGGCAATGATGTTGGTTTCGTCCCCTTTAAAGAAATATAATTGTAGTTGAGATTTAGACACACCGCAACCGAGATACGCATTTTTGTGGTTTCACTGTCAATAACCGTTACCCAAAGAAGCTGCATCTCCTAATTTTTCAGTACAATCTATAATTGAGATATTTCGCAACATCAAATCAATCTATGAAATTCACATTGAAGTGGATTGTAACGATTATTAACGGAAGTAATTACGTCACTTGCCTTAAGTACTGGTTGCAAAATTTTGATTCTCACTTGGCAATTTTGTTTTATTTGCAGGTTTGTTATCGGAAAACGGAGGTATTGAAACGGCGCGTGTTTTTTGGGAGAAGCAAGTAGCTAAAGGGATTTCCTTGGCTGCATTTCTAGAGGACAAAGATGGGGGCAGAGGAAAAATGATCAGCTGTAACGTTTTGGAAGTAGAGAGAAAAAATCAAGAGGATGAGTCCATGAAGGTGCGAAACCGGGTCACAATGCCACTCGATAGCGTCTTCTAATCTTAGAAAATAAGTATATTTTGTTTTTCATTATCTCATCCGAATAGAGAGTGGAGATAACACTCATTAGTACAAGTATGTAATGAAAAGAGAATTCGTTATTTTTTGTACTTCCGTATGTAATCAGTTGAGAGGTTGCAATTTATATATTTTTCTTATATTTACTTATTTTTCAATCAACAAATTAATTTCCTATCGTTATCCAGTATCACCCGAAACTTCAAGAAATTTGAAATGAAATTCAGTTGAGAGGACTCGAAATGGACGGCTGGACCAGGCCAGGTAAAGCTTCACGGAAAAAAAAGAATTGCTGATTCAGCAATTCAATTGCTAAAGACAGTGAATGCAATGTTTCAACGCAGATTTCACAACAAAAAAATGCTAATTTAACCACCCCCGTGGTTAAATTAGTTTACAATGTGGTTAAAGTAGCATTTTTTTGTTGTAAAATCTGCGTTGAAACATTGCACTCACTGTTTTTAGCAATTGAATTGTTGAATCAGCAATTTTTTTTTCCGAGTAAGCTTTAAAATAAAGCTCAAGCTTTCATTTACATACACGAGAGCCGTTTTACAGCCCTTTCAACTCCATCGTTCTACTACTAACCGCGCTACAGTCTTTTGGCGCGTATACCGCCTTTGCGATCGTTTCGACCCCCCCCCCCCCCATACATTAACCGAGTCCCCTAGTGCCTTACCGAAAAGTGACTGGCGCGAACTTTTGAGATTTTCCAAAGCGTGTAAAAAGTTTACTAATCCGTCAATAATAATGATTAAAATTTGTTTCTCATTCTGGGGCTCGCTAGTTTATGTGTAATGAATACCAAGAGTCTACGTTTCTTGGTTTTTTTTAAAAAAACCTTAGAATGGGGCGCGCTGATTTAAAATATGCATATATAAGCGGAAGCAAGCGAACTGATTCGAGGATGGCTGACCAGTTCGGCACTCCTTGAATGAGAATTTCACTCACTCCGTTTTGTTCACAACGTTGCTTTGACATATCTCCACAACACTGTTATCCTTTTCAAAAGTTGGTACTCCTTGCTCTGATAGCCGGGGCCACCAGGATAGTGGTAAGTGCAATCTGTGATGAGCCTCGAGACTCATTAGACCATTTGCTAAACGTGGCTCATACAGGAGTCCACTAAGCCCTCTCGTCCCCACGCTCCTGATCACTGCGTCGGCGTCACGAAGAACAATGGGCCTTGGGTCCCAACGCGGCCGATACCCGTACCCCAATTACTCACGCTTCATTAACCATTTCACCGTCACGCTAGGATTCATCCAATTTTCAAAAAAAATTGTTTCGCATGTATTTAGCAATTTTTTCCTTACTCTCCGTTAAAACACAAATAAAAAGAGACCTCATTCATAAAAATCGGCCGAATAGAAGAGAAGTTACAGTAATCGAAATCCGAAGAAATCAACAAAACCTCGACTCCTCGATACGAAAAATAAAATGAAGGGGAAAAAAAGAAAGTATAAATTACAATTAAATATAATTGACCTCAAAATTTGACAAACAATTCATTTATATACCTAACGCTGAAAAAACTGGGAGAAATTACAAAAAATTTGCCTCTTGCAAGGGGCTTCTTTGTAAGAATTTTGACCTGAAGACAACGGTCGAATAACAGCAGTAC